CACTACTTCCCGTACCATCAACTGCCATAGAAAGTTGAACAGAAGACTACTAATTATTCAGCTTAACAACTCCCAGAAGAGAAAATTAACATTCTGGATTATTTCAAGCATTGAAAGTTCCAACAATGGCCATTAAAGGTGCTGTCCCCAATTTTACCCAGGTGAAAAACACCTGCTTAAAACAGGTCAGATGAAGCTTTTATAGAAAATTTTACAAATTCATAATAGGCAGGAAATGAACTGAAATATAAGCTACAGTGCCCCTACAAAGGGAATCATAATGGAAAGCAGAAACAAGAGAACAGAACCCTTCAAATATACAGAAGAAATAGTCACAAGAATATATCAATCAAAAGGTGATCAGGAATATAAAATTTTAAACTCAACGAACAAAAAGTTACTCATCCCTGCAGATTTTAAACAGAAAAATAAGAAAGATACAGCTACTTACCTCTTCTGACACCAAGTTGATCCAAAAAAGGCCCAGATTGCCTGACCAAATATGCTAACAGCTCTGTTACATCCAGTGGGGGTACTTCCTATATCAGACAGGAAAACACAAGCATTCAGCATACTGCAACCACTATTTTACCAAGCATCTTAAAATCCAATCATGTTTGCATATGCATACAAGATCCATTAAAAGCTAGGGCCAAGCTTGATTTTGTTATCTCTGTGGAGTTGACCCATCCTCCAATGGAGATGTTTGTAAAGAGATGGTCAGAATGAAAGCATAGCTAATGCTAAGTGTTAGAAATTAGAGCCTGAATTATCTCTAATAGTTTCAGAACATGCATGGCAGACTGCAGTTTAGCATGAGATATGCCTATGAAGATAACAAGAAAGGCCCAATCCAAAAAGTTAGGAATAGCGTGTGCAATAATACTAGATCAATTTGGTTCAGTATACTTATATAGTCTATTGACATGTAATGTCTTGTAACCACATTATCTATCACATCAAATGGATAAAAAGTATGGGTTAAATCTCCAGAGATGAGAAAACGTTTCCACAAATTCAACTTATATTAAATTTTTATCTAAAAAAATGGCCAAAAAAGTTCAAAGCAAAAAAAGACATCAATCAGCAACAAAAATTTGCTTTTAGTTTGAAGTTTTACATGGATTCTATATGCACATTTTTTGGTGCTTCTCCAGCTAGATAAACCCATGCTCAAATTCCCTAAGGTCAAGAGGCATTAAATCCCCTTGCAAGTTACTGTCAACCTTAATCAACCCAGAGAATTGGCTATTAAAAGATGAAAAATAGAAGTAGCCTTAAAATATAGAATGTCCAAGATGCTATGCAGAGTATGAAGTAGAAATTTTAATTCAGGCCACTTCGAAAGACAATTTATAAAATATGGTTTACCTCCAATGGGGCTGCGCCTAGAAACATAAAAATAATTATAACAGGTTGCACTAATCCCAACCAAAAAACGGTTTACCTCCAATGGGGCTGCACCTAGGAATATAAAAATAATTATAACAGGTTGCACTAATCCCAACCAAATAGCCAACTATCCAAATAAATGCAAGCATGCCAGTAGCTAAATAGACCCAACTCTCATGTAGAAGCACAGTCTAGTTATTGCCTATCATCACAAATGTGTCTCAGTCTTTGATTCTTTAATATAGAACTATTTTAATTATAAAACTTTATAAATGGCTTCTATGCTTATTGCCTAACATGCATGCCATTGTTATAGAATTGGCAAATCTGTAAACCATCAATTACGGTATACACACTGATATACCCATAACAAAAGAGAAACAATAACTTCCACAAGCCCTTGACAATGAACAGAAAAATTATTCACCTGAAACATATAAATGACATGACTGCATAAAAAAATGCAAATAATACTAAAAGAATGTGAAAGTCCATAAGTGAGAAGGGAACCTTCGACTCCTGAGGCTCCTTGCAAATTGCTTTCTGCAAAATAAACATATTTATAAATAATTGTGCACTAAAAGGATTTTTAATTTACAAAAATTAAGATAATAAAATCACAACATAAACATCTAGAATGTACAAACAGAATGTTTACAAGTTAAAATGTTCAACATCAAATTAAATACCATCAAACTAGAGCTGGATGTTTAGCAACAAATTATATATAATAAAGCTCCTCATTTTATTGAATATTATAGGGCAAGCAAACAAAAATGTTACGCTTCAAGTTACACCACTTTTTCTATCACGGAAACTTTGTGTTTTTAAAAAACCACTTTACAAGAATGTTTGTTTCAGGCTAGCAAGAGTAATAGTTGATATCCATAATACAAATAAAAGAATTTTTTTTTTTAATTACCTTGGTGTAATTGATTGGTCAAAGGAAAAGGAATATACTACCACTTACCATCATGGCAAATACTTTGACCTAATTTCTCTCCTCAACAATGCCTAATCACTAAGAGAAGAGTATAGGTCTTCATAATAGGGAATTTTGATCTGTTAAGATACTACTTAATTGTTTTGAAAGTACCAAGTGCATCAAAAGTAAAAGAAGGACCAAATAACTAATTGTGATAAGATAATACCCATTGTTAAAGGTCAATCAAAGGGTATTGAACAAGGATGCAATAGAACTTAAGCAGGGAAACCAATTTTACTAGCCTTCAGATATGAATGCATGCTTTTTGCAATAGTACTTCCTGCATCCATAGCCAAAGGATATGAGCCAATTGATTAACACAACAATTCTACAACAGCCATTATTTGTTCTTCCCCTTACAAAACAATAATAGGTGTCCGTTGGATTCAGCCCTTAAAAGCCATAACTACCATATTTTATTTTAGTGGTAAATTTGGGAGTTATAGAAAGCCTTGGTATCCAAATGTGACCATAATTTTCATCTTGTCCTTCTAAATCATAAAAATGCCATCTTCATATGTTCATTCAGATTAAAAGAACAACATCCAAGAAACCAAAATTAAAAATGAAGTAAAACAAAAACATACATGTAGCAATAAACAGTAATCATTTAGTAGCTCTTGTCATGATGAATAGAACAAAATAACCAAGCATGTTAAACAATAAAAACTCCCACTTAGCAGCCATGGTCTGAGATGCAATCAAACCCTTCATTAGTAAGAGAATGACTCTTCCAAGCCCTTAAAAAAAATTTTAACATAAGAATTTAAGCAACTTAAAACTTCGAATGAACTTATAACATTATCTAACATTTTGGTATAATTTAGAAAATTCAGCATCTTAAACACTTCAAGTTTCTAACTACATTGGACACTCCATATTAATCAAAATTCCCCACACTTCCAAACAAAGTCGAACTAGAGTATTCTAGTACTAAAAAGTCCTGTACGAAGCATAAACCCAAAAAAATAATTGAATCTGATGTGTGATTATCGACATCCATGCAACTACAATCATCAATTTTATACCCTTCTAAAACTTAACATTAACCCTAACTACTTGACAAATCAATTATATATATTAAAAAGAAAACCATGCCAAATAACAGGAAAAAAAAGAGTAGTCTCAAGTCTCAACCAAGACAAAAGCAGAAAAAGAGCTTACCAAACTGGACTTAACTTTCTCCACAAACTCACTATTCTTAAAACCACCAAAAATTTCAACAGAAGAATTTTTCTTCTCAAACTCCCTTAACTTTGTTTTTAACGCTCGAATTGGTTCCCAATCCCCAAATTGCCCTTCCTCTCTAAACCTCGCCCTCCTCCCTTTCGTAAACTTATTCAATTCAATAATTCCATCCATATCCTCCTCCTCGGTCTCATACACCTCCGCCACAATTGCGCTTCTTATCCTTGACAAGTCTATCCATAGGTTCGCCCTCGTCCCCCATTTCTCCATCACTTTCCGGCTTATCTCCGGGGCCAAATAAACCCTACGAAACTCCGATATCTTAGGCTGCAGCTTCTTCATGAAGTCGATTTCCGAGGATTGCCGGATCACCGGTACCGAAAAAGCTGGTGTAGCTGAGTGTATAAAGTTCTCGATTTCCCTGTCAAAACTCGCTGCGAGATTCTTGAACGAGTGCGCACGGTTTTTCATGAGTTGTAAATCCGCGTCGGCCGAGTCACGGACCTCTCTCCACCCTTTCGAAATGAAGGAGAAAGCACTCGAATTCGACACCGCCGCCGCCGCACTTTGAGTCTGGTTGTCCATGGCGGGCAAATCCAGCTTCGGTTTTCGATTTTTCGTTAACAGAGAAATTTATTTCAATTATATTTTTTGGGATTTGCAGAGGTGACAAAGGGCGGAGGGAGAGAGGGCGAGAGGGACCAGACCAGAGATTTTAACGGTTAAGATTTTGATGTTTCTAAATAATTCTGGAAGTGGGACTGACACGTGGTATGCCACGTGCGACTGGTGGGTTGAGTAAGGAGATTTCTTTGCTGACGTGGTGAATGTCACCTGTGAAGATGAGGTGGCTGGTCTTGTTCCGTTTGTGCGGATATTCTGGGGGAAGGGTGAAGGCTACGATTATGTGCGGGGTTGCGCTTTTAAACGGATTGTGATTTCCTGCACGTGTTGGATGCTGGTTGGTCAACATTATGCAAATAAAAAAAAACAATTTAAGATAAAAAAATTTATATTTATTGCTACGCCAGTATATAAATTCTAAATTCTATATACTCCTTACTAAATAAATATTAATTTTTTTAAAAAATTTATTCGTTAACAATATCATCTTATTTATCTTATTAATAAGATAAAAATCATTTGATTAACAGTATAAAATCTACATTCTGACATTACAAAAAATATAAACCCATTTATTATCTGTCTATCTGCTATTACGATAATCATATGCTCAATAAACTTGGTTTGTTTATGTCCCTTGATACCAAGCTGATGATTATGGTTTGTGTGAAACAATCATGAGAGCTGTATCAACCTATGGAACTCAAATCAGGGGATTATGATGTATTTGACTCCCTTGATAACTTATAAGGGGCTAGAACTCTTGACATTGTGTTGAATGATCACATTGGCAATGTCTTCAATAAACCTTTTATACAAGCAAAACTGCATTTATAAAACCATCATTCTGTGGGTTATTTATCACCTGAGCATATTTCCCTGCATTCACCAAAAACAAATAGGTTGAGCATTATAATAACATGAATATGAATTGCTCAAAGTAGGATCTTTACCCCAAACAATCATATTTGGGAGGTTTTCTTGTAAAACCAGGTCCTACAAATGTGCACTTTGTAAACATCTCATCTTCTGCGGCAGGCCTGACCTGAAGAAGGGCAAAACAGAAGCTTACTTTTTCTTTTACCAGATCTCATCACCTTAAACATTTCATCTTCTGCAGCAGGCCTGACCTGAAGAAAGACAAAAGAGAAGTCAAACAACAGTAGTTAAAAGAAAAATCAAGTACAGAATACGGAAAAAGATAAAATATGACAAACAGAAAAGCTTGAAAATCTTATTACCTTGGGGATGGGGACCTCCCATTTTCCAGCTTTCTCTTTCCTCTTTTGCTTTATGGTGTTGCTGAGAACCTAAACATCACATAATGTTATATGTATTGATGACACAAATATAGCATTTATGTATCAACCTCATCTATCATCATACCTTTGCGCGTGTAGTGTTTTCCCGATCCAGAAGATAGGCAGGAATGGCTCCATCTTGCACTTTATCATCAACCTTGCGCCTAGTTGATGATTCTTCGTGCATAGCCAATCTGTTGACATGATGCAAAAGTTATCACTAGTTACTACGTCATTAACAAAGATAAGAACTTTGGCCAAAAAAAAGACCAAAGAGAAGAACAGAAATGATGAAGCTACAACGGCTCTTTAAATCAAGGTATAATCCCAAAGCAAAAGCTTCAAAGTGTCACATCTTAAAAGATGAAATTCATGTCTCGAAAGGAAGTTTCATTTCATGACTCCATAATCACGTACGCAAGACCTTATAAACAATAGACATTTTTGCTACTTTATTTTACTTGTTCAAATTAGTCCTAGAAGAAATTCCTCAAAGAAGATCAAAAAGGGAATTTAATACAATCTGGTCGCTCCTATAATATCACCATCCATGAATGCAACTTAATTATCAGAATATACTCGCATTGCGAACCGAGTACCAACTCACTAAAGACTAAAGAGAAACCACAAATTTGAGAAAACATGAAAACCGGAAACAGCCCGTTAACATCTCAGGAATAAGTGGCATGAAGAAGACAATGATTTAATGAAAGACAATATGATGACTATGGGCATTATCACTATGACTCTAACTAACATATTCAATCAACTATGACAACATTCGCGCTTTCATTTGAAATTTGCAGAATCTAACTATCAGCTAATAAATTATTAAAAGACAGCTTATCGCCATCCTTTTAAGTGCAAAACGGATCAGCATTTCTATGAAACCTTAATTGGAGCAAAGAAAATACTTAAAAAAAAAAAAAAGATAATCACGAAAAGAATCCAAAAAAATTAAAAAAAAAATAATTAGCTCACAAAATCCGACAACAAAGGACAAATTACCAAAAGCATGGGGAAGATGGGTATAATAACGGCGGTCGGTGTCTGTTTGTAAAATATTTGGGTCGTTGCAGGAGGTTTGGGTGTGAATTGAGAAGCTTGGGCTCAATGACAGAATACTTGGGCTAATGGCCTATTTTTTCAGATCAATTATTTGTTATTGAGTCAGCAAGTAAAATACCTAATTTATTTTCATTGATGAATACAAGGAAAATCCAAAAATGAACATAAGAAGCATTATGCAAGTTTTGTATAATTAACAAGTAAAATTAAGTAAAATTTGAAATTTTACATTTCAAACTTCATTAAATTGTTTTTTCAAAAATGCAAGCACACACATGGACATGGTATTCGGTATTCCTCGTGAAGTCTAGATAATTCAATTTTGTAAAGACCACCCTATATCGGCAGCTACGCAACAGTGGCGAGGAACAATTTAACCATGAGATACTGGCAGACTAGCTTAAATTACAACCATGTGCACCAGTCACCATTCTTCTTCCTCAACCTCAAAAGATTTATTACACGAAAATTTGAAGATGGGGGAACGGGGGAGGGCATGAATGTTTTATTTTTTCCACAATTTCGAATCTTTTGATAGTAAAATTACACCATGGCCATGCACATCAAATCAGTTCCAAGCAAAAATGCTGTTTTCCCCTAGACCACTAGGGAAAAACTCCCACTACTATTTTTTTAAAAATGCATGGACAGCATGTATTTATCAGGTATGGCTTGCAAGGAATTCACAAAAAATTGATAATTCTTCTTCATCGTTTGATAGTATATTGCAAAGGCATAAATTTTGATGTAAAATTTCATTTTTCTAAGTTTGTAAAAACTAAATTTGAGGGGTCAATATATTATATAAAAGAATTGAGGATCAATTTATAGTTAGTAAAAGCTAAAAATCACATATTTATCTTTTGTCATTTAAAAATTAACAAAATATCTAATAAAAACAAGAAAGATATCATTTATCTATTAAAATTCTTGTTGTGTTAAGCATACCAAAAATGTTTTTATAAATAAATATAATAAAAAATGTTAAAATGAGATATAATTTGATAAATGATTGTTTAATTACATAAAGATTAAATGTCCTTATCATGTAATATAAGCTGAAATAATAACACCAACCCAAATTTTGCTAGATGGTAAGCAACAAACCTAAGTTTTATATTTAGCTATATTATTATTATTATGATTATTATTATTATTATTATTATTATTATTATTGTTATTATAAAAACATCAATTTAGGAGTACATTGGACAATCTTGAAAATTGATGACCCATCTAATTATGCTTTAGAATTATTGATGCCAAGTAGAATAGGACACAACAGGGACTATAATATATCTATATTCCATTAAAGAAAATTAACCAAAGTTTCGTGCATATGAAAAAGACCAACAATCGAATGATAAATTTTTAAATTCTTAATTTTAATGGTTAAGATTTAATTGTTAACAGTTCCCCCCCAAAAAATAAGCTAAGGATATTGAGCCAGATGTAGCCACCCACAAAGAAATTAAAATTTTATCCATTTGGAATCTAATTACCAACCAAGAAAAGTTGGCTAATAATTTTATATCAAATTAATTTTGGAGCTTCCACTTCTTTTGTTTATTAATGCTTCCAACGCAACCACTCTTCTCTACTTTAACTTTTCTTTTAATCCAAAAGAAAAAAAACACTCCCTTAGTTTATTAGATTTTTTTTTTTTGTTTTTCATGGTTACATCACACATCATTTATATAATTAATTGATTTTAAATGATGAATTATTATTCTATCTATCAACCGGGAAGTTTAATTTTGTTATAATTCTACAAACGGATTTATATAGATTGGAACCTTTTAAACAATAATCATTTCATCTGCAATTTTTTTATTATAATTTTATAATTATTTAATCATGATAAAAAATTATAACAAAATTAAGGATTCATCATTTGTAAGTATGAGTTTTTTTTATAATATTTTTGTGTACTTTAAACAATTTTAAATTATAATTGATTAATTATAATGTAATAATTGTAAGTAATATTTTTTATTTAAAATTCATTTATAAAATTAAAAAATTTCACCATCAATATATTAGTTAATAATTTTTAAATTAAATGCAACTTCTAAAATAAGTTTGTTTTAAAAAGGGCGACCCCTTGATTTTTTTTTTATTATATAAACTATAACACTCTTCTTTCTTTCTCTATCTATCCTCTTACACTAGATTGACTTGATAGAGGGTTGGGACGAATAAAACTATAGTCTCTCATTATCCTTTTGTCTTGCAAGTAATTGGGCTGACGGTAATAGTAGATTTTTAAAATCAACCTATAAGAATCATTGGCCTGTTAACGTTTCATTTTATGATTAGTCTTTTGATAATATATATTTCATACACAAATGTAAATTTGGTAAGTGACTCTTGCATCATCAATGCTTATTAAATTTAAGTTAGTTATCCTCTACTAAGGCACCAATAATTCTTCCTTTTTGGTATTTAAAATTATCAAAAGTTAAACATATCTAAAATTAAAATTTTAATATTCTATTAACAAAAACATATACATATATGTGGTTCTTTAGATATATATATATATCTGTGTGTGTATGTGTGTGTATAGGGTTCACGAATATCGTCGGATTTGTCATCGATCCATATATACCAAACCACAATTTTTAATAATGATCCCAATCATGATTTTCAATACTTTACCTTGTGGCCGAACTAACTTGGCATTCATGCCTGTTGTTGCCGTATTACTCCATTGAAATAATGTTGCAAAAAAAAAAAAATTGGCTTTATATCTTTGAACAACCCAAGTGATCTTTTGTGAGTTGGGTTTTGATTTTTTTTTTTTTTGGTTTAAGGGTTTGGCCTTGAATCTTACAGTAATTGATAGGCATTTTTCAAAAGTGAAGGTATTATGAAAGAAATAAATGAATTAAATTTCAATAGATTGATTAAAATTATAATTGTTCAGAATGTTTTTTGAGGAAAAAAGAAGAATCCGCAACACAACCCTTTCACGAGAAAATACGTGCGTATCTTGATTGAATAAAATAAACAATTTTTTTAAAATTATGTTTATATTAAATTAAGGATACAATACTTTGTGATTTCTACATAAAAATATTTCTAAATCAATTATTAAAAAATATATAAAATTTTTAAATTTTACATTGTAAAAGTTGATATTTCCTCTACATATTTTATAATCAAGTCCGTTGAGTATTTACAAGAAAGATCAAATTTTCATTTCTTGATTTGAAAGGAGAGGGAGTGAGTGGAATAGAAAAAAGATGACTATCAAAGTGAAAAGTGCTGCCGTAGAGGATATGCAGCTTGAGTTACTCATATCATTTTTTTTTTAGCATATGCAGCTTGAGTTACTCATAGTCAATCATAGCATTATTTTTTAGTATTCTTTCGTAGATTATATGTAGATAAATGATGAAATTAATTTTGATAAAATTAAAAATAATAATAATTATTATTATAATTACGATTAAATCTCATCTATTTGAATTCAATAAATAGTGCAACGAGTTCAATCGCATCGCATATTTGATGTGATGAAATCTAAACCTAACCTTAATCAAATCAAATATTCTCGTATTGAAGTTTCCAACTAATTTAACAGTTGGATCTTGTGATTCTAAATTTTTTTCATTTTCTTTCACTTTCCTAATCCAATCTCACCTTCCAGTCTTTTCTCATTATTCTAAAAATCATTTCAATACTCTTCACCACGGGAAACATGCAACAGATCAACAGTCTTTGGATCCGAATTTTAAGGAATAAAATCATATTGTAATGAACCCAACATTTAATAAATGTGGGATTCAAACCTAGCCTTAGTCAAATCATATATTCTCATATCGACGGGCTGCAGCTTCTTTTGTAAAAAAAAAAAGGCATTTTGTTTATTTTTTGCTAAAAAAGACAATTTAATGATAAGAAATAGATTTTATAGGATTAGGAAACAGCTGGGATGATCACATGATGCTAAACGAGTTGGAAACAGATGCCACTTTGGCGGCCATATCATATCACTCCACTTATGTGCATGTGTGATGCGTTGAATGTTGGTACCATTGAAATATTTTGAAAGCAGTGAAACTTTTTCCCATATATTTTAGATGTTATATAAATTTCAACTATAACTTTTATTTTCTTTTTTTTTTTTTTACATAGGGACTTTGTGTTATAAGATGAGAGATAGTCATATTTTATTTCATGAACTCATTTCAAGATTTAAATGCAAAATTTTAAGTTTTTAATCATTGGTATGTTTCATTAGAGATTTATAATTTCAACTACAATTAATCAAATATAATTGTCAATTATTATCAAAATGATTTAAAAATGAGATTATATTTTTTATATAAAAAAATTGCAGTTTAGGGATAAAGAAAAAAAAAAGTTCTAGATACTAAAATTTTAATTCATATTTATTGGATGTTACATTTTAAATGATATTTAGTTTACAGAATTTTTTTTCTCAAAATCTAACTTTTTTATTATTTAATTCCTTAATTTGATTGAAAATTTTTTCGGCATCAAGAATTTTATGTTTTCAACAATGTCAAAAGAAAAAGTAAAAGGAATAAAAAATTCCTCTCTCTAAGATTTTTTTAATTTCCAAAAGAAAAGTTAAAATTTTTTTTCCATTCGCGTTCATTTAATTGCATTTTAAGACTATATAGATAATATTATTTGTTTTTAAAATGTAGTAATTTTATATTTTGTTTTTTATAGTTTCATGACATTTTTAAGATTAAAAATATAATCTTTGTTGAAATATATTATGTAAAAAATTATTTTTTAGAATTCAACAAAAAAAAAGAGATATTTTTAAGATTAAATATAATATATATTTAAGAATTTAACAAAAATAACATTTCTAAAAAAAATGTGGTATTTGTTGAAAATATAAAAATATTATTTTTTAAGAATTTAACAAAAATGAAGTTTTTAAGATAAAAAATATGATTTATGTTGAAAATATAAAAATAATTAATTTTTTAAAATTCTTTAGTTTCAATGAAAATAACATATTATTCACGTATAATATATTATAAATGTTACTTATTATTCATATGTCACATATTATGAATATCATGAATTATCTATGTATTATCAAAGATAAAATAATAAAAGATTGTGATAGATAATTTTATATTTCTTTAATTAAACACAAAAATTTTATATTTTCGACTCAACAAAACCCATAAATCATATATTCTTTTTTCATATCATTTTCTTTAAAATCATATTTTTTTTAATTTAAAAATCTATGAATCAAACTCAACAAAACCTATAAATCAAACAAATGCAACAAAGCTCAAGAATGAGAAAATTGATTAAGATGTATATAAAACAAATTTACAAACGATAATAAAGTACATGATCAGCCTTTAAGTTATTTTACCAGTTTTTCAATAAAATCTGAAAAGAACTTTCATGAGCGTAAATTCGCAATTATTCTTTCAACTTCGATGAATTTAGCAATAAAAAAAAAAATTCCTATTTCTCCTCCCAAGCTTTGTAGTTGTCTGTGTTATTTTGTTATTCATAAAAGAATTTGAATGGTAGCTTCTACCAGAAACAAGTCCAGCAGGTCACAGATATCAAAGCAAAGAAGAAATAGATCCACTCAATAAAAATGACCCACCAGCTTAATTATTGATACAAAATCAATCTGTTAAATCTGTCAATTACTACTATTAATATTAATTAATTAATTAAACAAACAAACAAACCAAAAAATTAGGAGTAGTGCTATTTTTATGAAAAAAAACTAGTGTTAAAAATAATGACAACCTGCATGTCACAACATGTTTCAAAAGACCGTACTGCCCTTGTCTTTTTGCAGTTGTTGATGAAGCAAGGAAGAGTGGAAAGGAAATGTCTGGTATGGCGTGTAACAAATGGAAAAGTGTTTTCCACAATCTTGATGTTGATGATATATATATATATATATATATATATATGCACTTATAATGCTAATTCAGAAATTTACTTTAGGTATGGTCCAAGTTTCATTTTTTTTTTCCATTTTTTCAGTTTGGCTTAAATTCTTCAGCTTTGATCCCATTCGATAGCTCCTAAAGCTTTTTTTTTTTCTATGTTCTTTTGTTTGTTTTCATGAATTCTTGTGTTTCTTCAATGTCTCTCAGTGTTACTGGAATCTAAAGTCTCTTTTTTATTTTAAATCGTTTGATGCAAGATTTGAAGTGGGTATTTGAAAAAACCACCAAAGGTGCTCAAATGAAGCTTCTTCGATAGTAGTTGGGGTGATTTAAGTCCAGTGCAGTACCAAATATCTGCAATGAGAAAGAAGTTTGCTTCAGTGCTTCTTTTATCTCTTGTTACAGTTGTTTTTAGCACCACTGACCCTGGTGACCTTGATATTTTAATGCAATTCAGAGACGGACTTGAGAATCCTGAGCTCTTGAAGTGGCCTGAAAATGGTGGTGACCCTTGTGGTCCTCCAAGCTGGAACCACGTGTATTGTGAGAAATCCAGGGTTACTCAGGTTCAGGCTCAAGGTGTGGGCTTGAAGGGTACTTTGCCTCAAAACTTAAACAGGCTCTCCATGCTCAAGAACATCGGTCTCCAAAGGAATCAGTTGAGTGGAAAGTTGCCATCTTTTTCTGGCTTATCTAATTTGCTGTATGCTTATTTAGATTACAACAATTTTGATTCTATTCCAGCTGATTTCTTTGATGGTTTAGATAATTTGCAAGTCTTGGCATTGGATCACAACAATTTTAATGCTAGTACTGGCTGGTCATTTCCCAAAGCTTTGCAAAATTCTGCTCAGTTGACCAATCTTTCTTGTATGAGTTGTAATTTGATTGGTCCATTGCCGGATTTTCTTGGTTCCATGCCTTCCTTGACAAACTTGATGCTTTCTGGTAATAGTTTGTCTGGTGAAATTCCGGGGACTTTCAGCGGCAGTGCTCTGCAGATGCTTTGGCTGAATGATCCGCTTGGTAGGGGGATGACAGGTCCAATCGATGTTGTGGCAACAATTGAGTCCCTCACCGTTCTATGGCTGCATGGGAATCAGTTTACAGGACCAATTCCAACGAACATTGGTAACTTAACTCTCTTGAAGGATCTCAATCTTAATAGTAACAACCTTGTTGGCCCGATTCCTAATAGTTTAGCAGATATGAGATTGGACAACTTAGATTTAAACAATAATCAGTTGATGGGTCCAATTCCAATGTTTAAAACGACCAATGTGACTTTTGCTTCAAATAAATTCTGTCAAGCCACACAGGGGCTTCCTTGTGCCCCAGAAGTTATGGCGCTAATAGGGTTTCTTGGTGGGGTGAACTACCCTATGAGGCTTGTTTCTTCTTGGTCTGGTAATGAGCCTTGCAATTGGGTGGGAATTAGATGCAACAGTGGGAAGGTTTCAATCATAAACTTGCCCCATTATAATCTCTCTGGTATTTTGAGTCCTGCAGTTGCAAAGTTGGACTCCCTTTCTCAAATTAGGCTTCAATCTAACAATCTAAGTGGTCTGATTCCCGATAACTGGACTAGCTTGAGATCTCTGGAAAGTTTGGATCTCAGTGGCAATAATATATCTGGTCCATTACCAAAATTTAGTAGCACTGTGAATCTAGTAATATATGGTAATCCTTTATTGAATGGTGATAAGAAAGCTCCTTCCACTGGGGACAATACACCATCTGAGATTTCAGATTCTCCAGCCAATAGCCCATCTACCTCATCGAAAGGTTCAGGTTCGAGTCCCATTGATTCTTCCATGGAATCAAGCAAAACAAAAAGTTTCAAAAGAAACACATTTGTTCTAATTGTTGCTCCTGTTGCAAGTTTTGCAGTTCTTGCTTTTCTGGTCATTTCTCTATCCATCTACTGTTATAAGAAGAGAAAGGAAAATAAGTTGGCTTCAACTTCCCTGGTGATCCACCCAAGGGATCCGTCTGATTCAGATAATGTGGTTAAGGTTGTTGTTGCCAGTAACACCAACGGAAGTACTTCTACACTAACCGGCAGTGGTTCTGCAAGCAGGAATAGTAGCAGCATTGGAGAGTCTCATGTCATTGAAGCAGGAAATTTGGTCATATCAGTTCAAGTTCTTCAAAATGTGACCAAAAATTTTGCGCCAGAAAATGAGCTTGGCCGTGGTGGCTTTGGTGTAGTTTATAAAGGGAAACTAGATGATGGAACACAGATTGCAGTTAAAAGAATGGAGGCTGGTGTGATTACAAACAAGGGCCTGGATGAATTCCAGGCTGAAATTGCAGTTCTTTCAAAGGTCCGGCATCGTCATCTGGTATCTCTTTTGGGTTATTCCATTGAAGGCAACGAGAGAATTCTTGTTTATGAATATATGCCTCAAGGAGCTCTTAGCAAGCACCTTTTCCATTGGAAGAGGCTGAAATTGGAGCCTCTATCTTGGAAGAGGCGGCTAAATATTGCCTTGGATGTAGCCAGAGGAATGGAGTATCTTCACACTCTGGCTCACCAAAGCTTCATACATAGAGATCTTAAGTCTTCAAATATTCTACTTGGTGATGATTTCAGAGCAAAAGTTTCAGATTTTGGTTTGGTCAAACTTGCTCCTGATGGAGAGAAATCTGTTGTGACCAGGCTTGCTGGGACTTTTGGTTACTTAGCACCAGAATATGCAGGTAAGCAACCCGTCTAAGCATTTCCAATCATTTGCAATGAGATTAAGCAGAAATAGACATGATAAATTTTCTCGAAATAGTCAATTTGTTTAAACTTTTAACAGTTCTAACTTTCTTTCCATCTGTAGCTTGAGTTCGTTGCTTGGAGTTACAAGTCTTCTTGCATGTAGTATATGTTAGTAGTAAGCTGCTCCAGAGGATCTTAAGTTGGTTTGGTCCAGGTTTTAGACATTTGGAAGCATATCTATCATATATCTTCACTTTTGGGATCAGATCTTTGGCTGGCCAAAATAAATCAGATCTTTGAACTAAGCTCCACATTGGAGTTTGAGCTAAAATCTTTGACATTGACCCAAGTTTGCATCTGTAAAATTTTTTATTGTTTACATCAAAATAAACAAGAAAGTTCAAATCTTTGCTATTACCTTTCAATTGAAATTTGGAGCAACGAGAAATTTTACTTGTGCTTAAGTAGTACAATGGCATCCCATAGACCGTAGTTGTTGTTCTTGATGTCCTTTTGCTTTTGTACTGACTCTAATTTCACATGCCAATGATTTCAGTGACAGGAAAAATCACAACCAAAGCTGATGTCTTTAGTTTTGGTGTTGTACTGATGGAACTTCTGACTGGATTGACGGCGCTTGATGAGGATAGGCCTGAAGAGACCCAGTACCTAGCTGCATGGTTCTGGCATATCAAATCAGACAAGGAGAAATTGAGGGCTGCCATTGACCCAGCTCTTGATATAAAAGACGAAACGTTTGAGAGTATCTCCATCATTGCTGAACTTGCTGGACATTGCACTGCAAGGGAACCCAGCCAACGGCCTGACATGGGCCATGCTGTGAATGTATTGGCTCCACTTGTTGAAAAATGGAAACCACTGGATGATGATAAAGATGACTATTGTGGCATTGATTACAGCCTTCCCCTTAACCAAATGGTGAAGGGTTGGCAGGAAGCAGAAGGAAAGGATTTTAGTTATGCAGACCTAGAAGACAGCAAAGGTAGTATCCCAGCTAGGCCTACTGGTTTTGCAGAGTCATTCACTTCTGCTGATGGTCGATAAAACAGGTACTTTGTTGCATATCTTTGAACACCTTGTTCATTTGGCAGTTATAGATAGCAGCTTGTGTTCTATCTGTTTGAGAATTCAATGCCAATATATATATTTTTTATGGCGGTTGCTTTATTGGTGGATTTCCAGATATTTAAATTATAGTCTCGTTTCTAGGTTTCAGTTGTAATATTTTCCTGCTTATGATGATGTAGATCTAGAGCAGTGGTGAATGAGAACTTTTTGTTGGTCGTTCCTCGTTCTTTTTCCTTCCCCTCAAAGTCCATAGAGACATTTTCCTTCCTCAAGATTTCCCAACCTCTATTAAAGACACCCCTGAAGTCAAATCAATTTGGCCCCAAAACCTTTTGGTTGTTGATTCATATCTTGATACGTTCAGAGCATCATGTTGTGACCTGATGTTAAATGGACCAAAGCAATTTTCCTGATATGTTAATGTTTTGAAGTAGGAATAATTGCATGCCGGACAGAGGCTTCTTGGTAGCCGCTTAATAATTCTGATTCAGAACAATCAATGTCTGAAAATGAACCAAAACTGACTCCATAATGGTGTTCAGAGCTACAAATCAAGTAAATGAAAGCAGACCCATTTATTTACGTTGGTTGGATATATTATATCAGTCGCACCTACACTAACCAACACTTGAATTATTGTATTTTATTTTTGTGAGTTTGGTGATGGAACTCCATTGGTATTTTATTTCTGCAAAAGTCCGATTCCTTTCTCTTAACTTTTTTTTTATTATGAACAACTGATCCGTTAATGTTATCACCATTTCGAGCCAACACTAGATCTAGCACCTCCACAAGCAAATGGACCCATAAAGGCATAAACATTATGCAAGTTTGGCTCAATGCAATAAAAAATACTGTGGCAGGCAATCAGTGGGGTAGTGTGCACTGGCGGCGTAGTGTTGCCCAATAGTTAGGCTGCTTGTTATTGTCATTTGCGAAGTTGGGTGCATCATGACTCGATGATTACTAGGTAACACCCAACACCAACATGATAATGTGGGTCTACTTTGTTTACTTCAAATGATGGAGTTGCACTTCTCGACACGTGGTTGGCCCCCTTTCCTGTCATGTTTTTGGACAGATTTGCCAATTCGTTATGATTCGATTTCTTAAGATGATGGTGATAGTGCTCCTATTTTTCTTTGGATAAAGGAAAGTGACAAATGATGTAGAGACTGCCTTGAAGTTTTATCATACTCCTAATAATGATGCAAGGAATCATGCCATTTTGTACATTTCGACTATCAATAACACAACTAATATAAAAATAATAAATGAGAGTTTAACGTAGTTTAAAATTCGAATCGTAACATTTGTAATTTTTTTTTTATCTGTAGACTGTCTTTATAAGCAAATACTACAAGCTATAAATAGAGAATTAGAAAAGACGAAAGGGGAAGAAATCTTGCCTGCAGACTTTGGTAAATAAAGTCTGATAGCTGCAGATCTAGTGCTGCAAAAACAAAAGCATTAGTGCATCATTAGCACCAAGGCTGCTAAAAATATAAGAAAAATTCACAATTTGTTACAGAGACCATAACAAAAGAGAATGCTGTGTTGTTTCACTACTGATTCCTAGGAAATACTGGAGGGCAAGAGCAGCATGCTCCTGCAATGTGGCAATAATTAGTAAGTATTAACAGACAGCTTCTGTTATATTCTACCTGAACTACAAGAGAACTGAAAATATAAAATGAGCAACAAAGATAGTTACCGAGATGTGTCTTAATATTTGGTATATATACTGAAGAACCTCTAGCATGTATGTAGCTGCCGCCCTGTGCAAAAATGTGAAAGGTAAATATAGAATTGCACTTAAACTGCTTTGTTGAGAGGCAGCAAGAAATCAAAAGCTTCAAGAGCTAACCAAGCTATATGATAGTACCAAATGATTTAGGATCATGCTAACAAAGGTATGATTACAAACAGAAAAGTGGTCTGCACTCTCCCTTTCTTGTGGAATCACAAAATAAACTTTGATCTAGCCCCAGAAGTGCAGCTTTAAACTTTGAAGTATTAACGGTAGTAAATTCAAGCTTTGGAACATGATTCCTGGCCTATGATCTATCTTTCTGCCAGCAAATTGAGTTCCCATTGCTTGGCAAAAAAAAAAAGTTCCCAGTGCACCTTTGCTTTCAACTGGCATCGAAACTTCCCAAGATACCAGTTAAGTCCAACAGAAAACAACCAATAAGAGAATCATATGTCATCGACTAGGAATGATAACGGTTCGGACTTAATCAAATTCAATTTGATTTTTTTTTGAATAATACATAAAATTATAAATTTTTAGAATTTGAATCCAACTTGAACTTTCATACGATCCGATTCAAACCGAATTCTATTAGTTCAATTTAATTTAATTCATTAAATTTTTTAATTTTATATATTATTTTAATGTGATTTTTATTATATTTAAATATATTTAAGTATAAAATAATTATTTTTATTTTATAAAAATTTAAAAATTTTATAAAGTTAATAAAAATATATAATTCGGTTTAATTTGTTTTTTATGGTTTCTTTTTTCTTTATTTAAAATTTGATCCGTATCTAATATTAATATATATATATATATATATACATTTAATATCTGAATTTAATCCAAATCAAATTAGAAAAAATTCAATCTATACCGAACACTATAATTTTAAATCAATTTTTAAGTTTTCAATATTTTTTTTTCAACCTTTATCCGGATTCATGAACAAACTCAAGCTAAAACTCAGATCAAGGTTAAACCAAGCTTGAATTAGACTAACTAGTTTTGAGTAGCATTGGAGCCTTGAATAGGCTAAATCAATTTCAACAAAATCCTGAATCCGTGATTAAGGATTGAACTTAAACAGAACTACGAGTACGTAAAACTACTTTAACTCCTCTACCACATGGCTAATAGGAGAAGCTCCACCAGTTAGGATAAACATTATTTACATCTTGAATGGGCATATGCAGATCAAAGGTCCAACAATATAATGAATTTCAAAGTAGAGAACCAGAAGCCTTCGCATCTTCTGAAAAGATTACCTCATATGAAAATTAATATAACAATTAATGAACCTAAGCAAATTGAATTTCAATGAATTTTGAGAATTACATTCGAAGTTTTAATTAAGAGTTATAAATAAAAGGCCATTCAAGAAAAATGTGATCTAGAACCAAAAGGTTGGTGCAACTATATATGGTCTGAGGCCCAGAAGGGAGAAGACAGGGTGAGGTACCAACTTAAATCCTATTTCAAGATTCAATGCAATGCATTAAGACAATAATCATGAATCTTGAATATCCTCCACAGACAAAAAAACATGGCACTTACTCATCCAAAAATTCACTTCTCAGTCGCGAGAGAGAGAGAGAGAGAGAGAGAGATTAACTATTGCCGGTGAACAAATAAATTTTGTTTCATTCAAATTTGATCCAATTGCGTCAGCTTGATCGCAAAGGTTTCCAATGTTTTTTTGATATTCTCAATCCACCCCAACCCCAACAGCGCAAAACTATGATGCTTGACCCTGCAGAAAATGTTAATTCCTTTTAGTTTGCTTATGTACTTCTCTTCCATTAGGTTCATTTTCGTTGAATGCTGTATACAATGAGAAGTAGGGGCTGAATACTTTGAGAACTTGTTCATAGACTGGCTTCTTAAAATCCATAGCCTGATCGAATATAGTTTCGAAGGATTAGTCAAGGATAATAAGAGATCTCCATTAACATAGGAGGTTTTATAAGAACCATAAAATAAAGGATCAGACAATTAGAGAAACTTACAAGCTCTACAACTTGTTCTGGTAACCTCCATGACCAGTCCTTGAACTCTGGCTTCTCAGAACCATCACCTAAAAGATTAATCTCTTCTTCATTTCCAGTGAACTTAAAAAGAAACCTGTTTCAGTAGCATAAAAGAAAGTCAAAATAAAGCATGGATTTTAATCAGATTTCAAAGGTCAGAAGCTTCCTAGACAAATTCAAAGAAAGAATGGAGTTTGAATAGGTGATCAATATGCAAAAAAAAAAAGCCAGAAGGAAGGTAAAAGACAGAGGCCATTATAACCAAAATATGGAGTATAGCACCCACAAAAACATACACAAGAATGCAATTTGACTGAGAGTTGATTCTAACTACAAACAGTGTATGACACAAAAGCAACTAATTATCTCAAGGTTAATAGTAATAATTCACAAACAACAATGGAAAGCAAAACATTAGGCAGACCTCAACATGAGCAATCAAACTTTCAAATGGGGTGAACCACACAATTGTAGTTGATGGAAGTACCACTGCTCTTCAAAATGTCTTATGCATTTAGATGTCTATAGTACAGATAGTATCCTTACCACTTCTGTGCTTGAACCTTACAATTTGTCCCTCATCTATGATTAAGCTTATTTTTCACTTTGATTGGGAAATCATAATTCAACCAATAAGGCTCCTGTACATGGAATGGCAGAAATCAGTTCAATAACCTTCAACAGAATAATTGTTTCATTGTTTGAGATGTGATATACAAAGATTTAATTTAATGCAAATAATCTTGAAACATGCCTCTGCAAAAAATTTAGCTGATGTAACACCAGTTTCTTCTCTCAGTTCCCTTCTGGCTGCTTCTCTTAGATCTTCACCATTATTAGCACCACCCTGCATCATGCAAACTCGATACAATTGGCATATGCACATGATAAAGTATATCGGATTCAAAGTTTTAGAAGCCAAGAGACACTTCAAAAAGTTCATACTGCCGAACCCTAACTGCCCAGGGTGAGTAATAATATTCACATGCATCATATCCCTACACAGGCCTTAAGATGAACTACAATTTTATCTTGTTCCATTAGATTCATAAGAAATTTCCATTTCCACCTAAAAATAACTCCATAAAACAAGCTTTCACCTATCTTATGACAACTAGGGTTGGCAGTATGCCTCTGGACGCTTTCATTTAAGTGCCTAAAGCCTCAAACTTATGACAACTAGTCTTAGATACTCCACCCTCAAACTCACAGTTGGTTTAAGGGACAGTCATAGACACAAGACACATTAGCACTCAGCTCCAAAGAAGAATACACTACCTGTTCCCCTAACTATTTCATACGCAGCACTCCTTGTTACTAATCGACATGACTGTACCAAAACCAACAGACTACCTTCTTGTTTCTCTGCTTTAAAATTCTATTATTTCGAATTGAATGACCCTGCAGTTTCCAATGCCAACTTATATACAGACTGTTTGCTTAAGCTTAACACAATTTCAATTCTACCTTACTAAAAATAAATTTAACAATGTAGGAACCAAGTTCAATTTTACCCTGAAGAACCCAATTGGAAAATGATGAACAAAAGTCGAAAAAAAAAATAGGGCCAAAAAATCCAACCAATGAAACCCTATCTAACAAGATAAACCCAGAAATTCTGGAAAAGAAGCAAAATACCTGATGCATTTGCCAGGTGTTTGGAATATATATCGTCGACGCCGTAAATATCTAAAAATCCAAATAAAAAGCCTATCAAAATCACAAACATCAAATTGAAATCGATAACCGAGAAAATTAGAGAAAAGGGGAAAACTTTTTAGAAGGATTTACAAGACAAATTTCGACATTTTTCGTGTATCTGTCAGGAGTACCTTAAATGGCAAAGGACCTTCTAAAGTGGCACCAGGAAAATTTACCAATTTCACAAGGGTAATTTCGTCTCTCGGTCCCACAAAACACCGAATTTCCCACTTGTTGACACCCTGCCATTTTACTTCGTCGTTTTGATGAGTTTCTGAACCCCAAAAAACCCAACCCAACGCTCTTTTTATTGAGCCCCAAGTTTCTCTCACTTTCTTTAAAAACGTAATGAAATTAGTCCCCAACAAGACTCCCCAGCTTATCTTCCAGTGTTTTCTTTTCCAAAACTACCCTCCCCGCCTTACCTTAATTTAGTGTTTCGTTATACGATCCGCACTTAAAACCCCAGCTTTTATATAGAAACCCTTTCTCTTTCTCTTAACATTTTGTTTTCGGTTCTTTCCATTTTCTTTCACTTAATTTCATTGTCCTTAAAGCTGACGTCATCAACATGGTGGAGGCCGCCGGTGATGGTGGAGGAGGAGTTTCGTTTACGGTCGTTTTCTTTGATGGAGACTGCGAAACCAGTATAGGGAACGTCGTTATTTATGAATTGATGGATTTCAAGGCTTTCCAATCGATTCTCAGCCGTAAGATCGGAATCTTACCTTACCAGTTCTCCGTCTACATTGCCGACAGAAACGACTCGCGCAACCGTGTCCCTATCACCGGAAAAGTCAATTTATCAGCCATTTCTCGCGAAATGGACAGTTAATTCCTCGTCGTATTGAAAAGATCGCGGCGGTCTGAGACAAGAAAAGGAAAGAACGAAGAACCGTCTCTTCCGTAGGCAGCGATGAAGAAGGAACCGCCCGCCAACATTATGTTGTTGAGGCGAGGCGGTGGTGGAGTCAATAATTTGATGGACGCCAGGGTATTTACAGGATTCGATGGATTTGATAGGCCGGTAAGGGATTTGCAAATGGAGAAAGTGAGCTATTTGGTGAATATGGGAAGGATAAATCTGAGAATTGAAAGGGAACTGAAAAGTTTGGTTTGCGAAGACTGCGAGAACACTAAGGTTGTCGGAAGAGATGTCGGGTTTCACTGGTGCGTTTACGATGGTGTTACTTTCGGGTTCCGATCCAATCTGGGCTAATTGCCCGACCCGGAAAAAATCCTGCTTAATAATAGAAAAAATAGATTTTGGTGGAAAAATGAAGAAATAACACCGGTTTTAGCATGAGCCCCTGGCCGTGGTGAAGTGGGGGGTTCAATTGAAAGATAAAGAAAAGCTTTTTGGGCACAGTTGGGAAGAATGTTTTTGCCATGACATGGAAAATGATTGTTTCCTGGGTTTTTTTTTTTTTTTTTTAATTGAAGGGTTGGAAAGGAGAAAAAAATTGTGAAAGATGTTGATTTTTACTTAATTATTAGGATGAGAATTGCTGATTTGCTGATCTTATCCTTTGTTTTTTCTTTAGGATGAAAAACTGGAAGTTAAGAAGTTCTATATTCCCATGGAAAAAAGTTGGGAATTAAATTATGTATATATTTTTTAAATTTTAAAATAAATAATTTATTCGATCACTCAAATCAAAATATACTGAATTTAAATAATTTAGATAAATACAATCGTATATTTAAAATAATTTTAATAAATAATCATAAATTAAATTCGAAATTAAAACTTTTACATCGATTATGTATATTTTTTGTTGTACATGTTCCGATGGGATTCACCTTTTAGTTTGTCCTCATGAAATGATACCTTTTTGCCTTTTCAAAATGATTTTATTAATTTTCTAAAAGATCACAAGTTTGTAATAATAGCAATAATAGAAAGTTTATAGCTTTTCCATGATGGAATGCTTCATTATGCAAACTTGATTGTTAGATACTATCTTACAGCTGTTGCTGAATGACAAGTCAAGAAGTTTGTGGTCCTTGAGGATAAATGAGGAATGTAGTTTGAAGCACTGGCATTGCTTTTATAAAAGGTTTTCCAAGGTTTATAACGTTAATCTTAGTTGAAAAATTTTTTTCTAAAATTTAATTTTTTTTATGATACATTAGTAATTTTTAAATATATTCGTGAAGTACTGGTTACCTTTAGTTTAAAAGTTTTAACAGTAGTTTAATATTAAATAAATATTTTTTTATTTTAATACTTTTCTTTAAATTCTTGAAACCGAGCGTGAAACCCAAGCCCAAAAGCCTCCTGGGCCGCTGAACCATTCCTTTCTTTTGTTTCAAGCGTATAATTTCCATTGTCGTGAGAAGGCCCCACGGTTCACGGTTAGCAAAAATGGAAGCGCTCGCACCGTAACTCACCCTCTCCTATAGTGAACGCTTACTCGACACGTGTAACTGAAACGACCGACAGATATATCTGTATAACCCAGATGAATTGAGCAGCCGTTGCTTTTGATTTTCTCCCTGGCGCATTTCAGCCTTTCCGCTATTTTCGCTCGCATGCCCGTGCGTGTACAAAAATTTGTACTCGCCTCCTTAAGTTAACCACGGGTCATCTGGACCTATGGTTCGTAAAATGTGGAGAGTGGGAAACTTGTTTGTTGGAAGAGTGAGTGGGGGAAGATATATATAAATATGGATAAAAAGGACAGACCAAAACGGCCGAGGAGTGGGTGGAGAGGGAGCCGAGCAATACGGCACTGAGTCGCTGTTGGCTGCGTGTGCTGACTGTCACGTGACCTCTGTACGGTCCATTCAGCCCAATAGCAGCCTAATTCCTTGTTTGGCTTTATTATTATATTAAATCATTTGGAATTTCACCTTTTTATTTATTTATTTTAAATTAAAACTTCACCTTTAACAATTCAAATTAGCTTCAATGTTCATTTATTAATGAATTTATTTACTTACCAATTATTTGCACAACTCAACATTTACTTGTATTGCATGTTTATTGAATAGGTTATATAATGTTTAGTTTTATGCTTTGCATATTTTCAAAATAATTTAAATAAAATTTGAGGTTTAATTCAAATTTACGCAATATTTTTAAAAAATAATATCAAATAAATTTAAATTTAAATTATAATACTTATAATATCTTTTACTATTCTCAAACTACAACATTTTTTATAAAAATAATTCAAATTATAAAACAAATTTCATAGCTTAAAGATGAAAAAGCTAAATCCCTTTATTACTTAGCCAAATAAAAGGATAGAGTAAATGATTCCTTGAATGTTTTTTAAGTAAAAGATGAAAGAATGGTTACTTTTGTTTCATTGTTGTAACTAAAAAGGCAATGCTATTTTGCTTTCAAGTTTATGTACTTTTCCATAAAAGAAAGAAATGAATATTTTGCCTTTGCACTCACTCCATTTTGAAAACTTTGATTTTTAATCAAATTTTGCTTAATTTTATTTATTTTTGAATAATTGCACCTATAGTATTGAAAATTTAATTTAAGTATCTTATTGATTTTCATATTTCAAAACATCACATTTTTCTTCAAAATTTCAATTTCTATGTAAAAAAATCAATCAATCTAATTTAAGGTAAAACACAATTGAAGTATAATTGAATTGATAACTCAACATTGGAAAGAATAAAATAATTTTTTAATACAAATTAATTTTGAAGACAAAAAAGTATGAATTTAAAATTATTATAATAATAATAATAAAAATGATATTTAAGTGAATCCGAGACCTAGTGCAGTGAACTCATGCAAATATTTTTTAAGAAATGATGTGTGATAGGCTTAAAATTCAAATTAAAAAATATAAATAAAAAAGTAAAATTTTATGATAGGTGGAATTTACTTTAATTTCTTTATGGAATTCAAACGAACCAAACAAGGCCTATCGTATATGCCATTTCTCTTTCCCTTTTAAAGGAGAGAACCTGCAGCGCCATTTTGAAAGCAGAGCCCCCGACATTTTTCTCTTCTTCCTAGAAACCCAAAATACCTTCCCTTCGCTTCACTTCTTCTTCTTCTCGTTGAAGAACAATGGCAAATGAGTTTTCTAACTTTCCACCAAATTTGGACGATGATAAACTTTGGCTCCCTTCTGACATTTTCCTCAACGATGTCCCTTCCAAATTCAAGCCCCACCTTCACCACCATCACCACAATCTCCCTTTCACTTGCATGGACGACTTAGCTCTTCGTTTCGCTGCTCTTTCTCTTTCTAAACATCAGCAAAAACCACCCAAATCTTCCAACTTTGAGGTTCTTTTCTTTACCTGTTACTATTTCTTGGTTTGCATGACTTTGTGCGTGGCAACCTCGTCTTGTTTCTCATGTTATGTCGTCTTCTACTCTTTTTCTTTTTCTTTAAACTCTGCAGAGGCGTAAAGAACCGGCTCGTTACAGTTCGATGAATGGCACTGGTTTCGAAGTGGGTCAAAGCTTTTACGGGCTGAGAACCGGTCCATTTCTTGGCGGGACTAAACCGGTTTATGAATTTCAGTTCTTGAAACCAAATCAAGACGAGGTAAGAAAAAGCTTTTGGTTTTGGTGTTTTTACAGTCATGAACGGTCTTTCCAGTGTTTGATGGGATGTTATTAAAGCTAAATAACTCGTTCTCATTATTTTATACATTTTGTTTTGTAGGTTGAGAGCTACGTTGAAGCAAGGGCTAGGGTTCTGCAGATGCAGCAAAACCGGCATGTGCAAAACCGGCTTTTACCAACTCCTAATAAGCTCAGGTTAGGTAGAGGATTGGTGAGAGAATCTGGAGGTACTGGAGTTTTTCATCCCCGCGTTATCCCGAAAGACACTACTTTTGATTCCAAAAAGAAACAAAGTTAGTTTTCTTTCTTCTTTTTGCTTTGTTTTTTTCCGTTTTATTTTTTAACGTATTGTGTTGATTATAAAAGATTTTTGGGTTTTTTATTGGTAAAGAATTATTGATTTAGGCATTGAAAATTAATTGTTATTTATTTGTTTCTTGGTTTTCATTCTTTTGTTTTAAGGGTTTCTGAATTTTGTTGCTTGGGATTATGGTTTTTGTTTCTTTTTGGTATCGAAGCATGGGGTTTTCTGCAGTGATTGATGGATTGCTGGTGCAGCGTTTGTTCATTGTTGTACTTTTTTTTTCCTTTTACAGATAAATAAAATAACAAAATTTATGAAAATAGACTAAAAGATTATTACAATTGGTTGATTATGAACCTTTTTTTTTACCAGGCATGGGTTATATCACCACCTTGCTTGCTTTTATGAGATACTTTTTGCATGAAATAATATAAATATGTTAATATGGTCTTTGTATGAAAGATAAAAGGAAGTATTGTTAGAAGAAATGTGTTCTCTTTGTTTTACTTGTACAGTTTGCACAAATTAGGATGTTCAAAACCAAGGGAAAGGAAGATGGGGTATAATAAGTCTTTTCTAATTTTCTTTACCTTGATAGAAATGTTTATATGAAATGAAGTATCTTAAGTTTTTCGTAGGCAAAATGGAATTCCAGTTCTTACTCAAACATTTATTATAGTTTAATGAGGGAAAGTCCATGAGTTAAGTACTACTACTACTACATAACTTGAATCTCATTGCTAGGTCTGGCTGCCAAGAAAAAGCTTTTATGCATTAGTTCATTTTGATTAATGGTGTAATCAAAGAAGATCCAATTTTTGCTTATTGTCCTCGGCAGGTACGAGAAAAAGACAATCACATGAGATTCAAGTCAGTCGACAAATGAACTCCATGAACAGGATTGTTGTTGGCAAACAAGAGGATTGCTATTATCATCTTCCTCCAGAGATGGGGTTGCCTAGAGACTGGACTTACTGACCTTTCTTCACTCATCTATGCAACTCGTTTGCCATGAAAATATGTTGATATGATAGAATAAGAGATCAGCTTGAGGGAGATGAAAAAAAACATTTGGGGCTTTGTGCAGTCTATGAAAAAGGAAAAAGATGACAAGCTTTGGAAGAAAGTAGGTCTAAGTCTACTCTTTTGTGTAGCTTTTAGAGCGATAGATAAATAAGTGGTTTTGAAAGGTGGTGAATTGACTTGCTTTTTTTGCCAGTCTTTTGTATTATGTCCCTATTAACTAACAGCAATAGTAGTAGAATATTTAAAGCTCTTTAAAAAATATAAGTTTTTATTTGCTTGTATGGATTTAATAGCATGTGACATGCCAGAACACCCTCAAAGCACTTTTTTTTTTTTTCCCACAAAGATCTTTTGCCCTTTATGTCTTGAGGTTTCCTGTGTTAGCTGAAGACAGCAGGCATTTATGGCTTCATTATTTGCAGAGCAATAGCACTGTTATTTTTTAATGGTAAAGTCATGTTAATATATATAACTTTTTTTAATCACAATTACTGCAAGTTCAGATATAATCAAATATTAAATCATTAAATAATCAAATGTTAATTATTGAATAATTTAATTAATTAATTAATTAATTATAACTTAATAAGATAAAATCAACACAAAATTGAATCAAATTCATATATAATGAGTTTTGAATTTAAAACTTCAAAATTTTAGGATTTATTTCTCCACTCTAAATCAGAGGTTTCATTGGCATCTTATATATAACTTTAAACATTCTTTTCCTTTATATTTTCGTTTTATTTTTCTTTTTATGAAAGGGCTATGGTTGTGGACTTTTTAGTTGAAAGGGTTTCATATGGGCCATGAATCTCATTATCCCTTACTAATCAATTTATTACTCGATTATGGTCAGTGGTCAGCAGTAATATAAGTTGTATGCTTTGTGATTGTTACAGTAGCAGATATTTTGCATCAAAAAGCTTATAAAATTATTAACAGATAATTAATTCATGAAAAAAATAAATTACTAATTTATTATAGCTAAGTTTACTGAAATAAATTATTATAATAAAAAATATAATTTCATAAAATTCAAATTATATATGCTCGATATTTATACCAACAAGATGATTAAATTTGAATATCGACTAGAATACTTTAATTTTGATTTTATGCTTGCATTATAGATTGTTCTATCATAATAACTCAGAAGGCAACCGATCGTGAACAATATTAGAAAAAGATTTCTAATTTTTTTTACCATAGGTCAGAATTGGTGATTGAATCGAGCTTACAATTTTCCATTGATAATGCATAAAATAGTAATTTAAAAAAAATAAATTGAGTCTAACTTAATTGATTGAATAGTTTAAGTTTTGGAAGATCAATGAAAGTTGTTAGTTATTAATAAAATTTTGATAATTTTGATAATTTTTATTTGAACTTATATCTTTTTGACATGTACGATTAGTTTTTATTTTCTTTAAAAATATTTAAGTAATATGATTAGGTTTTTTTAAAAATATTTTATATGTACATATAAATAAGAAAATACAAATTAACCACATTTTCAATTATGAAAAAATCACAAAATCTAAAGATTAAAATAAATTAACCTCGTTGATCTTTGATTAGATGAGTCGAGCTAGGTTTGGGATGAGTCAATTTAGTTTGGATCATTTTGGATCTTAAAAAATTAGATCAATTTTAGGTTATATCATTTTGGATTTGGATTGTTTTAGATTCAGTTCATTTTAGATTCTAACTAATTTGGGTGATACGTGGATTACTTGGGTACAAATCATTTAGGTTCAATAATTTCGAATTCAATTTATTAATTTTTAGAATCAAATTAAATTAAACTTAAATAGATAATTTGATTGAGTTTAAATAAAATTTTATTATAATTTTATTTGAAAAAGTAAAAAAAAAATAATATTTTAAAAATAGATATAGATATTGTAGCTTGTTATTTGTATGCTTTAAGTTAAAGTGAATATTTGAATAAATGAAAATATGTGATTATATTATATTTGATAAATTTAAATATGATATAATAACATTACACTAAAACGTTATGAGAAAAATTGTATGAATTTTAAAAAAATTACGTTCCGTTTTAAGGTTTATAAATACATATAAGATACAAAAAATATGTTTAATTAAATCATGCTATAGAAATACACTTATAAAACATGTGAAATATATTTATCAAGTTTGAAATGTTTAATAATTTTTTATATTTATTTTAATTTAATATAAATATATAAATATTATTTTAAACTTTTAATTATAATACATAATTACAAATTTAAAATAATCATATGAAAATTATTTTAAATATTTAATTATCATACAAATTTAATATGCAAATTTTTATATTAATTATATAATTGCAATATAAATAATTATTTTATATAATTATAGCTCATTATTTAATAACTTATTATTTTAGATTTTAGCATAATTGTAGCTCTTTATATAATTTATTCTAAATTACATAATTAAAAATTAATAATATAATTATAACATAAACATAACATATATACAAATCAGTAACTTATTTTATATAATTTATGCTAAATCAGATGATAGTTGATACCCATATATAATTATAAAAAATTATAATTTTTTTTAAATGATATATTGATATGTATATCCATAATAATTAAAATATATAATTTATTTTAAATTATATTATGAATTATAAAAAATTTTAAAAATAACATAATATATATAATTTATATTATTTTGATACTAAAAAATATATATTAGTTTGATATTTTTAATAAGTTTTCATTTATATTATATTTATTTGTGTTATATTTATTATTTTTATTAAATTAATATTTTAAAATAAAATTATACTTAATTTAGTATTGGGTTAATTTTTTGATTTATTTTAAATTTGGACTGTTTCAATTTCATATCGTTTTAATTTTAAATTATTTTAAATTTAAATTAATTTGAATTATAATTAAAAGAGTTGATATTGATAACTTTTTATGATTAAATCAGATTGGGCTAGTTTCTTATTGGAATGGGTTGTGCGAGTTTTTTGTATGCGCATGAAAATTGACAGGTAATTCCGAGGCAAAATTTTGCTGACGTGGAATAAAAATATTGCAAAATAAAATAACAAAAAAAATCCGGGACCCACCAGCTGACCCCCTGTTTCCTTCATAACAACTTCATATTTTGTCGTAGAACTCGACGAGAGACAGAAAAACCGAAATAAAGCAACGAGGCAACTCCCACTCAAATCAAATCTCTCTATAAAAATAAATTAATAAATAAATCATTTCAAAATTAAAGCTTACGTCTTAAGTAAAATCACGCCCCCAGGCCATCGAGAGAGGAAAAACATGGCAATGGAGGCATTGCGGGAGAGAGCAGCGCTCGTCAGAGAGTCGTTGCAGAAGAGCCAAATCATAACGGAAAGCATGGTCTCCATTCTCGGTTCCTTCGATCACCGACTCTCCGCTCTCGAGACCGCTATGCGCCCTACTCAGGTCTCGTTTCTTTCCTTTTCGTTTTATTTAGGAAATGAGAGATCTCTTTGATTTGAACTGAGAATAATTAGATTTTTTATTTTCTTTTTTGCTTTACGTAGATACGAACGCATTCCATCAGGAGAGCGCATGAGAATATTGATAAGACTTTGACAGCAGCTGAAACCATTTTGGCGCAATTTGATCTCACGCGCAAGGTTTTCCTTTTTCCTTTATGTTTTCTCTCATTCATTTGTTTATTCGATCCGTTCGGTGCTTACAGGTTACAACACAGATAATATTTTATATGGTATAGGAAGATAATTTATTACTTAATTAGTCAAAATTATCATTAGA